AGGTCCCAAAGATGTATTTGTACTAGTCATGAATTTTATTGTTTTTCCTCAAGATAGTAGCATTAACCCAATCTTAGCAACATATTTGCATGGTTACACTGTGTTACCATGGCAACCATGAAAGTTGTTTTAGAATAATGTTGTCAATACCTAGTTACTTAATGTCAAATATTTTTTAATTATTTTTCTTAGGTTGTTGATCGAGTTTGATCATGTAACACCTATCAATAGTGAATATTGAGCGTTTTTCAGCATTTTTCAGCATCTAAAATGTATTCCAAATGTACCCGTGGTTACCACTTTCTTAGAGATAAATTCTAAATAGTTTCTTTATAGCATAAGTGGCAACAAAGTGTCATGTTTTGTGAGAATGATAAGTTTTTCTTAGTCTTTATTAAGGCTTAATAAAGATTTAAAGTAGCTGAAAATCTCAATTTTTCCAACTTTTCTGCCTGTTATCATGGCAACCAAGACACCTAGCAACGAAATTTTATGTGATATATGTATCTGGTGTCAAGTTGTAATAATACGCAAAGTTTCGTCAAAATCGGTGACCATGCGTGGCAAAGAAGTTTAAGTAGTTACAGAGAATTGCTATTAAAACGTCTTCATAGGCCAATTTCGCTTATTTTGAACTTTGATTATATTGGGAAAAAAATGTGTAGGTCCCTTAAATTTCAATATATCTGTATGTAGGAAAAAGAATCTGCTGATGAAGGATAGAAGGGCCAAAATTACTAAGGTGAGCGTTGTTGCCCATGGACCCATTGTTAACTTATTGAGCTCAATTTTCTTGGTTAATGTTTTATTTTCCGCACATTCAAATTCCACTATTAACTCTGTCTTAATTCATTAGAATTTCACAGTGAAGGTGCTAGTAAGTACATGTTATCAGAGAAAAACATTCAAGGTGGTTTCACAGTGCCTCATCCCTTGCTGACAAATGTGTCTTTGCTTTCTCAGATTATCCTCCCTGTCCTCTGAAATTTCTTCATCTCCTTATGTCTAAAACAAAAAAATAAGCTACACAACTGTTTAATGTCTGCTCAAAGACTCTTTCTCTTCTGCCCAAGTGCCTTTGGCATCTGTTAAACTTCGCAGTTATGTTAAGGCTGTCCGAAGGCTCTATATACATTAAATATATACTATTTTGTTTTGAGCTATGTTTTGATTTCAGTTTGTAATCTATGTATACATACATAGTTAAGTTGTTAAGAGAGTTGAATAAGGTATTATAAAAAAGCATTTTGGGGAGGTCACATGACTATGTTGATCACGTGACGAACACTTATAAATTTTCTTAAATGTTGCACAAAAATCGGATCGGCACAAGTGAAAAACAAAATTATTGTTAACGGCTTGTTACATAAATCAATTAAAGGTATTCTTGGGTATATATAAAGTGCTGGGGGGCAAGTCTGAATTTTATTTCTTAAGAAAATATTTCACGAGAAATTCAATTTACCCATGTGCAAGGGGTCATTTTCCACTCTTCATAGCAATTTATACAAAATGGGATAAATTACATACAATCCCCCAGCAAAATTCAGTTAGAGGACATATTTTTCTAGTAGATTCACACAGAATATCTTCAATTAATCCTTATTATTCACTTGTGCCAGTCTAATATATGTAAGATTTATAAATTCCAACTCTGTCTACGGAAGTGTAAGGGGGAGCATTTCACATTCTTTTTTGTAATTGTTTGAATACGTATATGTCAGACAAAAAAAAAGGAATAACGATATTACACTGCAAATATTCACCATTATAATAACAAATTGAAACTTAAAACAACAATCCAGACACATGAATCAACGTAAATAAATTTACATGTGATGTGAAAGGAATGTAAAAGTTATGACACTTTCCCCGTCATGTCTGCTCAAATTTGCAGTGACTTGACGTCATATGCCATTATGACGTCATATTAAGGTAGTTCAGAGAAGTAACTACGGCTGGTACACTATGACATTCCTCGGACAGCCTTATCCTAGCCGCGTTCAAAACATCTCCAACAACAGCCATAAGATGCTTTATGAAGAAAATGTCCAAGTCTGCTAAAGGTCAAACATCATCAATTCCAGATGGTCTGCGCTTAACGGCTATAACTGTCATGAATCGAATGATGCAGTATTTAGGCAAGGCAAATCGTGTTAATGTTTGGTCATCGATATGAGGCGTCCTTAAAAACCTATAACAGAGATCTTTTGGTTCAACAAAAGAAGAAACAAGGCAATGCAGATTTAGCATCTTTAACAATTCCTTGAATATGTGAATTATTCCTCTTCAATTTCTAAAGCAAACTTGCTTGCATAGTCAGTTTAAGTTAACCTCAAAATCCCTCCAAATGTAGAATCTGATAATTCCTTATCCCACCTATAAATCTTTGTCAACACATTCTCAGATATAAACATTCTATCCCAGTCAGCTACATATTCCTTGATGCAACAGAGATGCTAACCAACTCTACATTTAATAAGTGCACCATTAGCATCAATAATTAAAGTGCTTTCTGTTCAAAATTTCCCAATTTTAATTCCTGAAAACATAACTTGCACCAAGCGGAAGAAAAATTGTGTCGATTTTGACAAAAAACACAAAATTTAATCTTTAAAATATATTAAATATATGTGCATTATCTATAGATCCATCCATTCATCGAGGGAGACAGAGAGCACTGTGTGTCGGATGTACAAGACAGATATATGTCACGGATGGAAGTTTATGTTAATCACTAAAAATGACAAACGACACAAACAATTAAAAATTGTCATTTTAGTGGTATATATATTTTATATATATATATATATATATATATATATATATATATATATATATATATATATATATATATATATATATATATATATATATATATATATATATATATATATATACGTTGATAAGTTAAATTCTTGGTACAGTAAAAAATACTTAAATAAATGAAAACAGAATGCCACAGTCCAAATTAAATAAAATCTTTACTGTTAGCGCTTTCAGCCATGTTGGCTCTTCAGACAGTTATGAAAAGTTCAAAACGTTGCCAATAACGTTGCTAATGACGTCGTAAAAATCTTAGGTATTATGACGTCACAATGAAGTTTGTGGTAGCGGCTACATGAACTTTTTCAACGGGCGCTTTCATCCGATGTCCACATTTTGTAGAACGGGAAAATCTTAAATTTTCCTTTACCACACTCAGCAAAATGTTCTGAACATGGGGTGCATCTGACAGTTTCGTCCCTTATATGTCAGATGCACCCCATGTTCAGAACATTTTGCTGAGTGTGGTAAAGGAAAATTTAAGACTTTCCGTTCTACAAAATGTGTACATCGGATGAAAGCGCCCGTGTAACCAAAGAGGACTATTTTATAAGACTGTTTAATCCAAAACTAAATCGCAAATGATAGATTATGTGTTAACAGATTTTATATTATTTCTATGCTTTAATTATACATTGTATTTTAACTGCGTTGAAAAAGTTCATTTATTTAAGTATGCATATATATATATATATATATATATATATATATATATATATATATATATATATATATATATATATATATATATATAAAATCTATGTATTTTTTTTTTTCAGGTAAATACCACAAATTTTCACCACAGACTAAAAGCTTGTATTACTCCATGTTATTTATTGATAATTTTTCTCTTGATATTGCCGATCATTCTCATAAAAATCTCCTGCGAAAAATAAGGGAGGAATATTTCAGCGATCTGAAAGATGTCGAAGATGTGCATCTAAGCAATTTGCCAAATTGCATTAAATCACTGAACGGTGTATTTTCTTTTGCATCAGACGAGGTTCGGCATGATGTTATGTATGCTTTTGTGACAGAATGCCTTTTGCAGTACAGTGATTTAGATTTTTTTCTAAGAATAGCCACACCACAGGTGATTTCTGAATATTGTCGCTCTTACTGGTGTAAGACAAAGGAAAAGGATAGGATTCTCTTTCTGCAAAGAGAAAATTATTACTCTTTGATAGACAGACTTCAGCTGGATATCATAAAGTACAGTCCTGATAATGACGAGGATATTCATTTATGGATAAGTACACGTTGTAAGTATCATTTCACACTGGTATCTATTTATTTAATTCAAATGGAATCTTAACATGATTTTTCTTTTCTGTCTGTCACTCCTTTCTACATTTATACAAGTTTGACAAGTCTGTAAGTTATTTTTTGTCTTGGCCAAAAAGCATCAGCTTTTTTCTAAGAAAGGTTTATGTCTTAAAAGCTAGCTTAAAAAAACAACTTTCCTAACACTGACTAAAAATGCAGTGTTTTAAATCCATTTTACCATTTTCAATCTTGGAATTTCTTAGCTATGACCTCTATCATGTACTTGAAAATGACTTTACAACCTACGACGTTGCGGTTTAATTTACAGAGGCAAAAGGAAAATCAAAGAAAATGTAATAGACAGGAAAATTTAATATATGTTTGAGCAATAATATCTAAATGTAGTGATGATTCCTTTATTTGCAGATTTTAAGTGTGTCGTGTGAATAACAGACACAACATGCCTAAACATTGACAGATTGAAATTGAAATTTGAGAGTAATTTTTACAAGCATGTATTAAACATTTTTCCTGTCTAAATCATCGTATATTTAAACAAATTTGTTTTACCAAATATGTGATATTGATGTTTTTATGTCAGTGGTGTGAAATATTATAAATTACAAACATGAAGAATATTGAATGCTATAAAAGGTAATAAACAATAATCACGCCCCAAATTCAATTCAATAATACATAATGAGAACAAAGAAAACTGGGACTTCTGAAAACGTTAGTGATGGTATCAAGTGCTTCCAGGGGCAATGTTTAAAGACGTTAATGCCAAAAAAAAAAAAAAAGAAAAAAGAAAAAGAAACTGTCTAAGCGTTTAAAAGCTTCCATCTCTCACAAATACTTCTCTATAATAAATATTTTCTCATGTAGTAAAAGTTCCAATAGAAATATTAATGTGGGACCAGGAGGCAAGAAAAAGATATACTGAGTACGCCAACAAAGGAACAGAGACGATCCACCATGCGAGGGGTATGATCGTAGGATGTGCTGGTGCTGGGAAGACCACGCTATTGAAACGTCTGCTCAGGTGTAGTGAGGCAGAAATACGGAATGTGGAGTCAACAGTAGGGCTGGAGGTTCACGAGGAAGTTTTCGAAATATGTAATGGGGTACTGAAAGGTGAAATATTATTACATCATAATCTTTTTTAACTAATAATGTTATTTACATATATAATAAAAATATTGCATATATCTAAATGAAAGCTCAATGTCTCTTATAATCTCGAAGTTACGTTGAGGTTTCAATGCTAACGTATGGTCGCTATTTCTATGGTGGCATATATCTGTCCCCTGCATGCAAGATAAATTATGCTAACATGCAACATAGTTATATAGATGTGCCATTTATTTATGTCAACACCCCCAAAAAATTGTTGACAAGCAAGTTACCAATCTCTTTCGAGAATATAATTTTAGTGTTGGTAACCTATCTACTACTATGTTGACCTCCGATTTATTTATGTTAACATGAGAAATAATCGTGAAGACATGCAACGTATTTATGTCAACATGTAAGATAATTATGTTAACATGCGAGTTAATTATGTCCACATGTATTTTGCCATGCAACTTATTATCTTTGGCGTTGACATAAATGTCTTGCATGTTAAAAAAGTAACTCTATGTTTACAAAAAGAAGTCGAATTTTGACAAAAAGAAGTCGCATATTGACATAGATATCTTGCATGTTAACCTAATTATCTTGTATGTTAACATAAATAAGTGGCATGCCTCCGTTATTATGTTGCATTTGAACATAAATATTTCGCATGTTGGCATAATATCTTGCAGATAAACATAATTATCTTGCATGTTAGCATTAATAAGTCGCATGCCAAATAATTACGTAGCATCTTGTTTGTATGATGTATACTGGCGTTAGTTAGTAAGATTACCAACTTTACAATATATGGTGGCATATTTCTGCCCCCTGCATACAAGATAAATCATGTTTACATGCAACATAATTATGTAGATATGCGATTTTGTCAACATGCGAGATATGTATGTAAACATGCAAATTATTATTATCCATGTTGATATAAATATCTTGTTAAAATATAACTCACCTGTTGACATAAATAAGTCGCATGTTGACATAAATAAGTCGCATGTTAACATAATTATCTTGCATGTTACCATAAATAAGTGGCATCTCTACATAATTATGTTGCATGTTAACATATATAAGTCGCAAATTGACATAGATATCTTGCATTTTAATATAATAATCTTGTTAGCATAAATAAGTCGCATGTCAACATAATTCTGTTGCTGCTTGCTTTTATGATGATGTAATCTGACGTTAGTAAGAAAGTTTACCAACATTAAATTAGATTCTCAGAAATGATTGGTAACATATGGTGGCATATTTCTGCCCCTTGTGTGCAAGTTATTTTTCTGTCAAATATATCGACATGCAAGATAAGTATGTTGACATGCAAGATAGTTATGTCAACATGCAACATAAATATGTTGACATGCAAGAAAATTGCAATCAAATAAGAATTATAAGAAATTTTTAAAAATCTCATATATTGCCCACATGTGACTTCCAATATGTTAGATGCTACTTATTTATGTCGACATGCAAGTTATTTATGTTGACATGCGAAATAAATATGTTGGCATGTAAGTTATTTATGTCAACATGCAACTTAGGTATGTTAACATGCTACTTATTTATGTCAACATGCAACTTAGTTATGTTGAGTAGCGAATATATATATATATATATATATATATATATATATATATATATATATATATATATATATATATATATATATATATATATATATATATATATATATATATATATATATAAATAATTTTAAAAACGTAAATATTCAAAAATGAAATCACAAATCGATGTAAATGTCTGAAGACCCGAAAAAGTTTACAGTGAATTTGATCGATTTTTTTATTTCATTTTGGATATATACTTTTTTAAATATGATCGATTTTCAAGATGATAAGATTTTGAATTAAATGATTAAATTTAAATGCAAAAGAAATTATGTGGTACACAATTTGAACATTTGTGCGAGCGTGCAGATTCGTAACTACCCAAGACACGTGCAATGAGGCTCGGTTCTGTTTTTTATTTTATTTTTTTTTTGTAGGTAAAATTGAAGCTGATTTCAATGATCGAAAATTTGTTCAAGCAAATGTTGCAGTTTAAATTTTTTTCTATAACATGAGATGGTCAGCAAAGTATAAATTGAATTTCTTTAGATAAAATGTCCTGGCGATTCAGAAACATGACCGTAGATTATAAAACGTTTTTAGGGCCCCTCTCTGCGGGCGACCTATAGTAATTAATGTGTCCGTCCGTCCATCTGTTCGCCCGAGGTCTCTTTTAAAGGGTGTGCAGTGACCTTGAACTATGTTTCAAGGTCTAAGGTTAAGGTCATAGCAGAACTATATCTGAAAATGCATGTAAACATAAATAAGTTGCACGTCGACATACATATGTTGCATGTCAACATATTTATCTCGCATGTCAACATAAACAAGTTGCATGTCGACATAAATAAGTTGCATGTCGACATAAATAAAATGTATGTCGACATAGATAAAATGCATATCGACATATTTATCTTGCATGTCGACATAAATAAGTTGCATGTCGACATAAATAACTTGCATGATGACATAAATAAGTAGCATCTAGCATGTTGAATGTCACATGTGGGCGATATTTGAAATTTTTGAAAATTTTTTATAATTTTTATTTGATTGCAATTTTCTTGCATGTCAACATAGTTACGATGCATGTTGACATAACTATCTTGCATGTCAACATATTTATCTTGCATGTCGACATATTTGATAGAAAAATAACTTGCACACAAGGGGCAGAAATATGCCACCATAGTAATTATCTTGTATGTTGACACACTTTTCTCTCATGTTAACACAATTTATCTTGCATGTAAGGGACAGAAATGTGCCCCCCCCCACCCCCCATTCCCCCCACCCCAATAAGATTCTCTTAAAAAAATAGATAACTTGCATGTCAACATATTTATTATGCAGGAAGCCATACTGTAATTATCTTGCATGTTGACATACTTTTCTTGCATGTTAACATAACTTTTCTTGCATGTAGAGGGCGGAAATCTGCCACCATAATTATTTTGCATGTTAAAATAAAAACTTGCATAGGGGACAGAAATATGCCACCATACTAACGTATGCTTATACTGTAAAGTTGACGTACATATAGGGTACATTTTCTTTTTCAACTGTGACAGATGGTTTATTTTTTTATAATTCATCTTTCTCCCCCTAAACAGTGATAAATAAAAATGACAACATTGATGGTGTTAATGTTGATGGAAGAGAAAGCCCTGAAACGTCTGCGGTAAATAATTATCCAAGAAGAATAACTTTCTTTGATTTTGGTGGTCAATGTGCATATTATGCCTGTCATCAAATTTACCTGACAAGGAGAGCATTTTACATTTTGGTCATAGACGCCTCCAAACCATTAGACAAGGTAGTGGATAAGGAAGTTTGCGATCAGGATGGTACTTTGTTTTCGTCTTGGACGTATGCAGGTAATGTTGTATAAAACAATGGAGAAGATAACGTTCAACTGGCATTTGTAATATATATATATATATATATATATATATATATATATATATATATATATATATATATATATATATATATATATATATATATATATATATATATATATATATATATATATATATGGGATATTATAAACGTTAGCATGTTCCAATGTTCATTGATTTCATTTGTCCTAAAATTTGCTACCCCCGGACAATTACATCATGAATCATAAGTTTATCAATTCTCCTGTATATATAAGAAAGTTATGATTTAGTTGACCCCCACAAATTAAGTACTAGTGATTCCTCAGCATCTCAATATAAATAATAAAATGGAACTTAAATTCTAAGTTCATTATTAAATAATTTAATTTTGTTTGTATTCTAGCCTCTCATTGGTTAATATCCAAAAAGTAACACAAATTATTTCTGTATAACCTGGTTTGGTATGGAGACACACCCTCCTGACAACCAGCTGAATTATCTGTATCCATACAATCCTCTCATTTCCAGTCGAGATTCATGGAAAATACCAGATTTAATAAATGTACCTTTAACTTCAAACAATAATTCGATCTTATAATTACCACATGTAAACAAACAACAGGCTGCTAGGCCTATGTATCAGTTTTTACCTCCCCTTGCTTCCCATCACTTCCGTTACTTCCGTTACTAAGGTTGTATTATTGAGCGGCAAATTTGAACTAATAAAAAGCAACGAAATTTTACACCCATAGTTATTTAATGATTTTAAAATCAAATTATAAGGAATGACTCTAATTCTTGGCCAAATTATTCGAGTATAACCTGGTTTGGGTCAGTTTAAGCGTAAACTGACCCAAACCAGGTTATACTCGAATAATTTGGCCGAGAATTAGAGACATTCCTAAAATGAACATTTTATGAAAATCATTAATATACTCGAAAATTCCATTCAACAATTATTCTCGTTCAGTGCAAATCACTCAGAAAAAAATATTTGTATCATTATCCTATTGCTTAAAGTTTTGAACATATAATGCCAGATCTGAGTTTGCAACAAATATATATTTATTATCAAATTGATGTTTACATTATCGAAGTATTTCTTTTCAATTAATATTAGTTAAATGTATTCTGTGTTAAAAAAGATTCGCTAAGTGTACAAAATTCAGTTCATTATATACATAATTATTTGGCAAATACTTTCATATATTTTTCTTTGTAAAAAATGAATTAAAACCTTAGGTTTGGAACTTTGTAGATTACAATTTTGAGTTATTTCAGATTACTTTGCATTCTGGATAAAATCAATACTCACATTTTGCTCGTTAGAAATTGAGAGGAAACCTGATATACTTCTTGTTGCTACACACTGGGAAGAAAATGAATATGAGGTATTTATAGCTGATTTTTTTTTTTTCAATTGCCAATAAAGGAGGTTGTATAGAAAAGCCTGATGTGGTTTCTGGTTTTAAAAATGTTCTTTTTATTCTTTTAATTTTATTCATTTAATTGTAAATTTTCTGTCTTATGTGCTGCAGAACGACACATATTCTTTCCTGCAAAGAGTTGGAAGTAATCTTCCGAACATGATGTCTCTTCAGGATTGTATACCTAGAGATAACTGTTTCTCTACTCAATTTCCTCTTTCGCCGTTAGAAGATTTGGAGAAACATATCATTTCTTGTGCTGTTGATTCCCGATGGAGTGAAAAGGTACCGAAAGAATGGCTTTGTCTTGAGGTTGAAATACTGACTTTCAGGCAATCAAAACGCATTCTTGAATTCCAGTATATCGTAAGCAAGATGCCAGGAGAAGTGAAACAATCTGCAAAGGACATGCTTCGATTTTATCATGATGCCGGGAAAGTTTTATACTTTAATGAGCAAGATCTTCATGACGTTGTCATCATTGATGTACAATGGTTTGTTGATGCCTTTAAGAACATCATAACTGACAGTTTGCACACTTGTGGGATAAGCAAAAGTAACGAAGATTGGAAACTATACTATGAAACCGGACATCTAAAAGATACTTTGTTGACAGAATTCTGGAGAATTAAAGATAATGAACTGTTGCAATCTCTTGAGAATAAGCAAAAACGAACAGAGGATTTAGAGAAAGATCCTCGCTGCATCATGTTTCATAAAATGAATGTTTTGACTGTGATGCAAAGACTTGGATTGGTGGCTCTTGGAAAGACATCACATTATGTCCCTTGTATGAATAGAAAACCGTTGCCTCTCAAAGTTAAAGATATGGTTTATAATGCACCAAAGAAAACACCAGTTGTGGTATTTAGATTTGGCTTTCTGCCATACTTTTTATACTTCCGATTAATCGTTGGATGTATGCAAAACAAAAATTGGAAGGTGTTGGACGATGGAAAAAGTCTTTTTAAAAATGCTTCTTTTTTTGAATTTTCCAGTCATTTCATTGTTGTCTCAGTCACTGGAAACTCGATAATGGTACAAGTATATCACACCCTGAAAGAATTGGATCCTTTAAAAACTCTTGAGATAAAACGTGTTGTAAGAAATACTTTAAAGAGTATAACAGAGAGTTTCCACAAGAAAGTGTCATTCGAAACGGGATTTGTCTGTCAAATGTATAAAGAGATAGGAGAAGAAATCAACAGTGATTTTATTGACGAAAGTGAATTGACAACGAATGGATCTGAACTCATTTTAGTATGTCCAAGGCATCAAGTTGAAGCATATCATATAATCGAAATAGAGGAATACAACAAATATTGGAAAGAATAGAGTACCAATGTTGAAAAGAGTCACTAAACAGATTTTATAAAAACCTTTGAAATTTTCTTCGCGAAAGTAAAACGGTTTCAGGCGATGATATATTTTATAATTTGCTAACTGACTTATCTACATGGTCTTAGTATTGAAAAAGCCTTAAAAACTCATATTCATTTCAGGAAGGAAAAAAATTGTATTTACGCTATGACGTGTGTCTCATTTAGGTAATAAGTAACATAATCATTTCCATACAAATCAATTTATTTAGAAAACAAGGTATCATTTATCGAAGATTTTATCATGTGCCAATCCGTATTTACATCCGAGTAAAGCTAAAAAATGATACCTTATTACTTATATTTACACTTGGTGCGCATTGTTGCTTATAACGGTGTTCATTACATTCCCTCTGTTTTGACCTAGATTAGCACTTTAGTTTAAATGATTTAAGAAAATATAGTTCGACAATATTGCAACTATTTAATTAACACTGTGTAAAAATATAACTATAGGTTATGTTTTCAACATTACATTTTTCCATTGAAATTAAATTACAAGAGAATAAATGTGTATTTTGAAAACAATGAATAAAAAAAGGATGCTCTGCGGAACATCAATTATTTCGTTGAAGTAAAAATGTTACATAACGTCTATTTGAAGTTAAAAACACAGTGAATAAAAACAGAGTTTTAAAGGACTTCGGAGAACATCCCGATGGTGACAGAAGAACTAGTATCAAAAGCAGGATGTTTTTCATTTGGAACTTCGGAGAAATGCTTTTCTTGTTCACAAGGAGAAACGGAGGAGGACGTAGATAGAGTTGTGGTTGCACTGAAGGAGAGAAACTTAGGATTTGTCATGAGCTTACAGATCCTTTTTGCTTATTTGACAAATTACGATTGTATGATTTTAGTGACGCTTCGCTGTATGTTCACTCATAAACATTATCTGTCGAATCCATGATCACTAAAAGCTGTAATTGCTGTGTCTCTCAAGCAGTGAGGGGTATACATAGTATGTAAGACTTCAAGCATTTAGATGACTTGCAATATGAAACATATAACCACTGATTGATCTCCTTGCCAAAGGTTTAGATGTTTACCAGAGCTCAGATCCAGAGTTCAATAGGGCATATTTGAAAGATTATAAAACATGCTTTTAGTACTGCTTTTCGTGTCGCTTATTAACAAGCACAACATTTTTACAGGGCAGATTTCACCTCCAGGAACCTCGTATTTCCGCTTTCCTGCAAGCGCTTCATCAGATACAATTCATTCCTGGAAGTTTTTCTGTTGTGCTTTATGACCAAGTATTATTTATCGTGAATTATTCTTTGTGGAATTAAAAATAATCCGTCTTTAATTGATGATTAAACTCTTAAATTCCCGTATAACTAAATAAATGACACACTGGCGGTGGACAAATGGGGAATGTGGAGCAGAAAAAAAAAATATGTAGACATACGTTGAAGGTGTTCAGGATGAATGATTGTTTGAAAGTTGGTTGTTCTTGATGCATCAGTTTTTGACATGGATTGGACCATCCCATCTAAAGCATGATTCGCTGTTTTAAATTTCTTATCTAGAACAATATCCCTCTATCATCCCAAATCCAGAAGGTGACATTTGATTGCAGCACGAAGATTTTTTAAAGCTATTTTTGTGACAATTTTCTCCCACCCTTTTTGAAGTTGATTTGGATTTGGCTTCCCAATAAAATTTCCTCAATTTTTCAGCAAGGATCTCAGAAGTGACAGTTTTGAAATTGAGAACATCCGAAAAGACTCCCGAATGCCAATCTATAAATTATAAAGGGATTTTTTTTTAAACGTTGATTTTGTTTGCATTTATTTTTGTATTTTTTTTAGTTTTAAGATGTATTTTTAGTGGTAGTTTTCCGTTTCTTAGTTTGCATGTTTACTTAAGTTTTTTTTAAATATGTTGATGGAATTATTATTAGTATTTTATTATATTTTATTTATTTTTTTATTTATTTATTTATTTTATTTATTTATTTATTTTTTTTTTTTTTTTTTTTTTTTGTTAATGGTGTTTCTGGGTTTTTTTTTTTATTTCTCTACATTTATTACTTTCATTAAAATCATATTCTAAAACTGCAGAAAAAAAAATAGTATATCTTGTTGTTCGTGAGTGTATTGTTTTACTGTAAATATATTTCCAGAACAAACATTTGCCTTATATTTACACGGATATATTGATATCTGCAATATTTGAATTGGTCCATTGATTTATTTTGTTTATCATTTATATTTTTCGTTATATTTATTTCGAGGTACCGATAATATATGTATCGTGAAAGAGTTTTGCTCCCCATTGAGTACTTCTTTTTGTTGAGATAAAAAATCTATTGAAGGGTAGAGGTGGGAGCTGGCATACCAGGGTTAGGAAGCTCCTCCATATCAGACATCTTTAGCTCCCCAGTCTCTTCAACGCTTACTGGAGCCATAAAGGGGAGATCCATTGCGGCCAGGATATCATTATCAAAGAAAAGGTACAGCACCGGGTGGTCATCACAGAGATCAAAATTGACAAATTAACTTTAAAAGCAGACATGTATTTTAATAAATGAATAAATAATGTTTCGTTTAATATATATATAAAAGTTTGTTTTGAAAAGATTTTATTTTATGCACGAAAATTAAATTAGTTTAATGCGATATTATGTTTTGACACCATTTATTTTATTTTAGCCGGTTTTGTTTACATACGTAGTGAAAGTAGTGGCCCAGTTCTCAGGGGGTCAGTGTATTCATGCACAATTACTAGTTTGTAACTAATCTCCCTGTCGATCACATCCATATATCGTTTTATGCAAACAAATTGTACATTTTCTTACGTTTAGAGATTTGACATGTACTGTATAATAAAAATACACAAGGTAAAAAACAAATCATAAACAAACGGGGAGTTTCCTACTTCGAGACATAATTCCAACTTTGTTACTTGTCATATTTTTTGCAAGCATTCTGTCAGCGAGATGTTCTCCTACTAGACTCTTTAACCTAACCCCAAATTTTGTGTTTTATATGTTGTAATCGGGCAATTTATTACATGTAATCAGACTCGGAACATTTTTTCCATTGACAGCGATAAAGAAGGTTTTGAGGTACACCGATTCGTTTCGCTTTATTTGATTTAGTAACAATTCAACCTACATCACTGTCAACCAATCAGATGAAGCGAAAGCACCAAAACCTCCTTTATCGCTGTCAATGGAAAAAATATATGTGCTCATTTAATAAATAGACCAATTACAGCATATACATACTACAGATGGGGATAAGAATTAAGAATCCGAGTTAATGGCCTCTTAAATATCTTTAAAAAATATTTTATTTAATTATAGAATACATTTTTCGTTATGAAAATATTTCTTGATCCCCCTCTCACTGCATACAAACTGCGTCAGGTTTTACGAAAAGACGTCACATTGACAAGTGCATTGCAATCAGTGACTTGTTTATACCTTGCTATGTGGAATTTAACTCAAGACAAAACAACGTGTTATAGTAGGTTTAGATGTAGTTTGGTGGCTTCCTATAGTTTAAAATAGCAAATTATATCATTTGTAGTATTTTAAAGGATGGTTGGTTTTGCATGATGTCATAGTTAAAATTTCCCGTACAAATTAGGCTGCGCCCCCTTTCTGTAGCCTTAACTGTGCTGCGTTCTTAATAACGCAGCACAGTTAAGGCTGCAATAAGGAGGGGGGCCTAATTTTTACGGGAAATGCTTACTATGAAATCACACAAAAATACATGTTCTTCAAATTACCACAAAATGAAATGATACGCTATTTTAAACTGTTGGATAGCTTTAAACTACATCAATACTTATTATTGCATGTATTTTTGTCGATGGTTAAATCTTACACAGCAATATATAAACAATTCACTGATCGCAATGCACTTGTCAATGTGACGTCATATCGTAAAATTTGACGCAGTTTGTATGCAGTGAGAGGCGGATCAAGTTATATTTTATACAATGAAAAATGTGTTTTGTAATTAAATAAAATATCATTTGCAGATATATGAGAGGCCATTAACTTTGATGCAATGTCTATTGTATGATTTTATTCATATACTTCCCGTACAATCCCTAGACAAGTGAAACTGCCGTACATTTGTATGCAGATTCATTGAAGGGTAATAGAAGGGTAGTAATAAATCGATATATTGCAAGGGCATACCCTCAATGATTTACGACAAGCTTTTACACATAAACTCAAGAGGTATGAAGATATTTAAAAAGTGCTCCGAACCTGATGAAATCTTGCAAATGAATTAATTATATCTACATTTAATGTATTTGACCAGCAAAATATTCAACATACGGTCTAACAAATGTAATTTTAGCAATTATATAGTAGAATCTATATAGGTTCGCAGCACTTTTCACAGACTACAAAGAGTGTTGAAAATAATTATAAATTAAACTTAGATTTTTAACTTGGTTATGCCCTTGCAATATTGGAATTTATAGATGACCTCAATACTGCAGGTATATATATGCTAAAATCACGTGACTGCCACATTGCGCGACAAATCTAAATAAGAAATATAAACGTCCTCAACATGTAGTTTTTCAGCCACATTACATTTGTTCGATAATAGTAAAGGTCTAAAAAGAATCGCCTATCCTTGTAAAGAATATATTTTCTGTCTAAAAAATTCGCCGATATTTCCATTTGGCACCTTAACTGTACTGCGAATTGTATATCTGTTAAACATTGGAATTTACAT